CCAGGGGAAGGAAAAGATACTGTAAAATCTCCATTTCCACCCCACTCCAGGGGAAGGATACTGTAAAATCTCCATTCCCACCCCACTCCAGGGGAAGGATATTGTAAAATCTCCATTTCCACCCCACTCCAGGGGAAGGATTCTGTAAAATCTCCATTTCTACCCCACTCCTGGGGAAGGATACTGTAAAATCTCCATTCCCACCCCACTCCAGGGGAAGGATACTGTAAAATCTCCATTTCCAGCCCACTCCAGGGGAAGGATACTGTAAAATCTCCATTCCCACCCCACTCCAGGGGAAGGATACTGTAAAATCTCCATTTCCAGCCCACTCCAGGGGAAGGATACTGTAAAATCTCCATTTCTACCCCACTCCTGGGGAAGGATATTGTAAAATCTCCATTTCCAGCCCACTCCAGGGGAAGGATACTGTAAAATCTCCATTTCCAGCCCACTCCAGGGGAAGGATACTGTAAAATCTCCATTTCCACCCCACTCCAGGGGAAGGATACTGTAAAAACTCCATTCCCACCCCACTCCAGGGGAAGGATATTGTAAAATCTCCATTTCCATTCTACCCCACTCCAGGGGAAGGAAAAGATACTGTAAAATCTCCATTTCCACCCCACTCCAGGGGAAGGATACTGTAAAATCTCCATTCCCACCCCACTCCAGGGGAAGGATATTGTAAAATCTCCATTTCCATTCTACCCCACTCCAGGGGAAGGAAAAGATACTGTAAAATCTCCATTTCCACCCCACTCCAGGGGAAGGATACTGTAAAATCTCCATTCCCACCCCACTCCAGGGGAAGGATATTGTAAAATCTCCATTTCCACCCCACTCCAGGGGAAGGATTCTGTAAAATCTCCATTTCTACCCCACTCCTGGGGAAGGATACTGTAAAATCTCCATTCCCACCCCACTCCAGGGGAAGGATACTGTAAAATCTCCATTTCCAGCCCACTCCAGGGGAAGGATACTGTAAAATCTCCATTCCCACCCCACTCCAGGGGAAGGATACTGTAAAATCTCCATTTCCACCCTACTCCAGGGGAAGGATACAGTAAAATCTCCATTCCCACCCCACTCCAGGGGAAGGATACTGTAAAATCTCTATTCCCACCCCACTCCAGGAGAAGGATATTGTAAAATCTCCATTTCCATTCTACCCCACTCCAGGGGAAGGAAAAGATACTGTAAAATCTCCATTTCCACCCCACTCCAGGGGAAGGATACTGTAAAATCTCCATTCCCACCCCACTCCAGGGGAAGGAAAAGATACTGTAAAATCTCCATTTCCATTCTACCCCACTCCAGGGGAAGGAAAAGATACTGTAAAATCTCCATTTCCACCCCACTCCAGGGGAAGGATACTGTAAAATCTCCATTCCCACCCCACTCCAGGGGAAGGATACTGTAAAATCTCTATTCCCACCCCACTCCAGGGGAAGGATATTGTAAAATCTCCATTTCCATTCTACCCCACTCCAGGGGAAGGAAAAGATACTGTAAAATCTCCATTTCCACCCCACTCCAGGGGAAGGATACTGTAAAATCTCCATTCCCACCCCACTCCAGGGGAAGGATATTGTAAAATCTCCATTTCCACCCCACTCCAGGGGAAGGATTCTGTAAAATCTCCATTTCTACCCCACTCCTGGGGAAGGATACTGTAAAATCTCCATTCCCACCCCACTCCAGGGGAAGGATACTGTAAAATCTCCATTTCCAGCCCACTCCAGGGGAAGGATACTGTAAAATCTCCATTCCCACCCCACTCCAGGGGAAGGATACTGTAAAATCTCCATTTCCACCCTACTCCAGGGGAAGGATACAGTAAAATCTCCATTCCCACCCCACTCCAGGGGAAGGATACTGTAAAATCTCTATTCCCACCCCACTCCAGGAGAAGGATACTGTAAAATCTCCATTCCCACCCCACTCCAGGGGAAGGATACTGTAAAATCTCCATTTCCACCCTACTCCAGGGGAAGGATACAGTAAAATCTCCATTCCCACCCCACTCCAGGGGAAGGATACTGTAAAATCTCCATTTCCAGCCCACTCCAGGAGAAGGATATTGTAAAATCTCCATTTCCACCCCACCCCAGGAGAAGGACATTGTAAAATCTCCATTTCCACCCCACCCCACTCCAGGGGAAGGATACTGTAAAATCTCCATTTCCACCCCACCCCACTCCAGGGGAAGGGTATTGTAAAATCTCCATTTCCACCCCACCCCACTCCAGGGGAAGGATGCTGTAAAATCTCCATTTCCACCCCACCCCACTCCAGGGGAAGGATATTGTAAAATCTCCATTTCCACCCCACTCCAGGAGAAGGATATTGTAAAATCTCCATTCCCACCCCACTCCAGGGGAAGGATACTGTAAAATTTCCATTTCTACCCCACTCCACTCCAGGGGAAGGATATTGTAAAATCTCCATTTCCACCCCACTCCAGGAGAAGGATATTGTAAAATCGCCATTCCCACCCCACTCCAGGGGAAGGATACTGTAAAATCTCCATTTCCACCCCACCCCACTCCAGGGGAAGGATATTGTAAAATCTCCATTTCCACCCCACTCCAGGAGAAGGATATTGTAAAATCGCCATTCCCACCCCACTCCAGGGGAAGGGTATTATAAAATCTCCATTTCCACCCCACCCCACTCCAGGGGAAGGATACTGTAAAATCTCCATTTCCATCCCACTCCAGGGGAAGGATACAGTAAAATCTCCATTTCCACCCCACTCCAGGGGAAGGATTCTGTAAAATCTCCATTTCTACCCCACTCCTGGGGAAGGATACTGTAAAATCTCCATTCCCACCCCACTCCAGGGGAAGGATACTGTAAAATCTCCATTTCCAGCCCACTCCAGGGGAAGGATACTGTAAAATCTCCATTCCCACCCCACTCCAGGGGAAGGGTACTGTAAAATCTCCATTTCCACCCTACTCCAGGGGAAGGATACAGTAAAATCTCCATTCCCACCCCACTCCAGGGGAAGGATACTGTAAAATCTCTATTCCCACCCCACTCCAGGAGAAGGATACTGTAAAATCTCCATTCCCACCCCACTCCAGGGGAAGGATACTGTAAAATCTCCATTTCCACCCTACTCCAGGGGAAGGATACAGTAAAATCTCCATTCCACCCCACTCCAGGGGAAGGATGCTGTAAAATCTCCATTTTCACCCCACTCCAGGGGAAGGATACTGTAAAATCTCCATTTCCAGCCCACTCCAGGAGAAGGATATTGTAAAATCTCCATTTCCACCCCACCCCAGGAGAAGGACATTGTAAAATCTCCATTTCCACCCCACCCCACTCCAGGGGAAGGATACTGTAAAATCTCCATGTCCAGCCCACTCCAGGGGAAGGGTATTGTAAAATCTCCATTTCCACCCCACCCCACTCCAGGGGAAGGATGCTGTAAAATCTCCATTTCCACCCCACTCCAGGGGAAGGATACTGTAAAATCTCCATTTCCACCCCACTCCAGGAGAAGGATATTGTAAAATCTCCATTTCCACCCCACTCCAGGGGAAGGATACTGTAAAATCTCCATTTCCACCCCACTCCAGGAGAAGGATATTGTAAAACCTCCATTTCCACGCCACCCCACTCCAGGGGAAGGATATTGTAAAATCTCCATTTCCACCCCACTCCAGGGGAAGGATACTGTAAAATCTCCATTTCCACCCCACTCCAGGAGAAGGATATTGTAAAACCTCCATTTCCACACCACCCCACTCCAGGGGAAGGATATTGTAAAATCTCCATTTCCACCCCACTCCAAGGGAAGGATACTGCAAAATCTCTATTCGCTCCCCACCCCGCTAACCTGCTTGCCAGCTCTGTGTGCGAAGCAATAAAAGAAGACCCAGCCAATCAGCTGGGACTCGATCAGCTGGGACTCGAGAGGCCGCGAATAGATGGGGGCAGGGCCAGTCAGAGGTAGTATTTGCCGGTTCTCCGAACTACTCAAAATTTCCGCTACCAGTTCTCTAGAACCGGTCAGAACCAGCTGAATACCACCTCTGGCCTTTGGTAGAACTTCAGAGCTTCAGTGCTTCTTCAAAAGCAGCAAGCAGAAAGCTGTAGACTCTCCTGCAAAATTGGAAAACCCTCCCCAAAGAAGGAACAGCCTCCAAATGCAGGGGTGACAACATGCCATCAACTGACCTTGGCAAATTCAAAGGAGATAACCAGGATCAATGGTGATTACCGTGTTTCCCCGAAAATAAGACCCAGCCCGAAAACAAGCCCTAGCCTCATTTTTTTTCGGGTGGGCCTAATATAAGTCCTACCCTGAAAATAAGCCCAGGGTTAACCCGCTGGCCCCTTGGCACAGCACAGATACCTATAAATCTGAGCGCGGAGGCGGGGGAGGGAGACAAGAGATTTGAACGTGCTGCACAGCTGCCTGGCTCATGAGAGGCTAAGAGCTGCGATGGTGCAGTGGTTAGAGTGCAGTAGTGCAGGCTACTTCTGATCACCGGCTGCCAGCAGTTTGGCAGATCGAATCTCACCAGGCTCAAGGTTGACTCAGCCTTCCATCGTTCCGAGATTAGTAAAATGAGGACCCAGATTGTTGGGGGCCATAGGCTGACTCTGTAAACTGCTTAGAGAGGGCTATAAAGCACTGTGAAGCGGTATTATTATATCTATCTATCTATCTATCATCTATCTATCTATCTATCTATCTATCAATCTATCAATCTATCAATCTATCAATCTATCTATCTATCTATCTATCTATCTATCTATCATCTATCTATCTATCTATCTATCTATCTATCTATCTATCAATCTATCAATCTATCAATCTATCAATCTATCTATCTATCTATCTATCTATCTATCTATCTATCTATCTATCTATCTATCTATCTATCTATCTACACCAGATTTGGAGGTATGGAGATTGGCAGCACCTCCCAATGTGTTTCGCGAACGACACACCCTGTGCCCACCCAATAATTACTTACTGATGTAGACAGTCACTCCAGCAGCAATGAGGACCGCGGCCACCACAACTCCTATGATTCCAGCAATGAGTCCAAAGTTGATTACGAAAGCTGTGTTGGAGAAAAGGCAAAATGACTAGGGAGCTTCGGGTTTCTCTAGTAAAGGGTTTTTCTTCCCTTTAATTTCCCGGCCTTGGTGAGAGGGCAGCCAAGACTGAGTTAACTTAGTCACATTAAGAAAAGATTCTCAGTAGTAGGAACCAAACCTTTGTTCCACAGAGATAGTAACAGTAACAGTAACAAAGTTGGAAGGGACCTTGGAGGTCATCTAGTCCACACAGATCTGTACTAGAGATTCGAATTGCTGAACTGCCAACCTTTCTGATCAACAAGCTCAGTGTCTTAGCCACTGAGCCACCTAGTCAGGCTAAGAGATGATGGATTTGTCCGAGGAAGAGCTGAACACCCATCTTTCTGAGATGGTTTACGTTGGATGCCTGCACAGAGCAAAAGGGTGGATTGGATTACCTCAATCAGTCAATCAGAATAGACCAGGAAGGGACCTTGGAGGCCTTCCAGAACAACCCCCTGCTCAGGCAGGAAGCACTTGGTCCGGAAAAGGTTAGCCATGACTGGTGTAGGGATACCAGCAGGGGTGAGATCTAAAATTTGTTACTACCGGTTCTGTGGGCGTGGCTTGGTGGTGGTGGTGGGAATGTGACTGGGTGGCCGTGGCCAACTTTTTTTTATTTTTTTAAACTTTTAAAAGCATTTTTTCTACAACATCTTCGGCCAAAAAGGTTGCAGAACAAAATGCTTTTAGAAGCCTCTGACGATCAGGCAACTCAGCTGGGATCGCCAGAGACTTCTAAAGGCATTTTTTTTTCTACAGCCTCTTCAGCCAAAGAGGTTGTAGAAAAAATACTTTTAAAAGCCTCTGATGATCCCAGCTCAGCCGCGCGATCATCAGAGGCTTTTTTTTTTTTTACTTTTAACAGCATTTTTTCGGCTGAAGAGGTTGTAGAAAAAATGCCTTTAAAAGTAAAAAAAAAAAAAAGCCTCTGATGATCGCGCTGCTCAGCTGGGCGGGGTGCAGGGATTTTTGCTACTGGTTCTCCGAATCACCCGCTGCCATCGCTATCGGATCGGGTGATCCGGTCCGAACTGGGAGCATTTCACCCCTGGATACCAGTGATGGCTAACCAAGTGCCCAAAGTACACGCACCCCCAAAATGCAATGCGCCCTGCTCCCTGCGCACAGCACCCCTGCATGCACCCCACCCATTCACATGCAGTCCCTTGCATGCACCCCACCCCCACGCATGCACAAGAGGGACCCAAAGACCAGCTGGCCAGCGGGAGGCGCATGTGTATGTGCAGCCGAGCTGAGCTGGGGCAATGGCTCGCGTGCCCACAGAGAGGGTTCTGCACCACCTCTCGTACGCGTGCCGTAGGTTCGCCACCACGGCCCTATATCATTTCGGACAAATGGTTATCCAATCTCTGCTTAAAAACATCCATAGTGGGAGCATTCACAACTTCTGGAGGCAAGTCGTTCCACTGATTCATTGAACTCCATCATGACATTCATTAGTTTGAAGGTCCACAGCTATGTGAGGTTTCAGGGACAACTTTGCTCATAACTGGTGACGCCCCCCACCCCCCTTTCTCTTACCAGGCTCCACCCAGGCCAAGATCAGAGGCTCCGGCAGTCCGGCGTGGTCCACATAGCACCGATAGCGGTCCCTCTCCTTCGGGTCAACCTCGATGCTCAGCCAGGCATGGTAGGTCCCATCTGAGTTTGGAAGGACACCACCCCGGAAGGTGTCCTGCTCCCAGACTTCCCCATCCTTCCTCCAGGTGGCATCCACCTCTTTGGGATAAAAGCCGTAGACTCCGCAGATGAGGGTCTCCATACCGCTATACTGGATCCTGCGAGATACTTTCGCCAACGGGGGCTCTGTAGAGAAGACAACACTGGCGTTGTTCTGGCCCAGCTCCCCAAACACAACCAACCCTCTGAAGTTAACTCAAAGATTCCTTTATTAGGAGCTCCAGCGGTCCCGGCAAAAAATTTCTCTCTCAATGCAAGCTAACAAGTCCGTCTGTCCAGAAGATGAATAGTTGTCTGCCTATTCACCTCTGCCCCCTGCCTTTTATCCCCAGAGCTAGGGTGGGGCTTCGCTAGCAAGGATCTTCCATCCCAAGGATCAGCCCACAGATTTCCACTGCTCTCCTCTCCTCTGCCTTCTGCGCATCCATGCCTCAAGCACTGGACCCAGCTGTTCCTCCTCTTCCTCATCAGCCACCTCCAGACCTGGGGGCTGTTAACTTTCCATCTGCTGGATGGCCCGTGCACCTCTCCCTCCCTCCCTCTCTTTTTCTCTTTCTTTCTCTCTCTCTCCCCCCCTCTCTCTTTTGTGTAGCGTGGAGACCTTGCACCACAAATCCAACATTCTCCTGCAACATCACCAACCCTTGCCTCCCTTCTTCCTTCCTCACCTTTCCTCAGCAGGGATTCCTTTCCATACAACACACACTTCTGAAGCAGCTGGATGCATTCCTTCTCCAAAAAGTTATTCGTGTTCTGGGTGATGAAAGGCTCAGCTTCCCACCTCCTCTTGGTCACCTGAGCACGGACGTCGACCGCCGTCCAGGTGAGGGTTTTCTGATCCAAGCTGATGAAGTCCTCCCCATCGTAGCCATACTGAAAATACCCCTGTTTGTGGCCATCTTTGCTCAGCTGGCAGCCGATCATGCGCTGCCAGCTGTGAATCCCTGCCAAGAAAAAGTCAGGTAGTTCTCAACTTACAACAGTTTGCTTAGTGACCATTCAAAGTTGCAATGGCATTGGAAAAAGTGTGACTTACGACCATTTTTCACAGTTATGACCTTTGCAGCTTCCCCATGATCATATGATCAAAATTCAGATGCTTAGCAACAGATTCGTAGTTATGACCGTTGTTGTCCCCAAAGTCATGTGATCCCCTTTTGCGACCTTCTGACCAGCAAAGTCAATGGGGAAGCCAGATTCACTTAATAACCGGGTTACTAACTTAACAACTGCAGGGATTCACTTAACAACAGGGACAAGAAAATTCATAAAATGGAGCAAAACTCACTTATTAAATGTCTCACTTACAACCATATATTTTGGGCTCAATTGTGGCCGTAAGTCGAGGACTACCTGTATAGGCTACCCCTGAACAGAGATCCACTTTTATTCTCACAAATCCTCATTGCCCTAAAACAGTGATGGCTAACCTTTTTGCCATCACGTGCCAGGAAGGGGGGGCGCGGAGGAGGTTCGCACACGTGTGTGCCCACACCCATAATTCTATGTGGGCCATTTCAGGCATCCGGAGGATCTCTGGAGGGATGGGGAAGGCTGTTTTCGCCCTCCCCAGATGCATAGAGAGGATTTGGATCCAGGTGAGAAAGAAAAACGGGCCTTCCCCACCCACTCCAGGCCCTCCGAAGGCAGGAAACAGCCTGTTTCCCTACTTCTGGTGGGCCCAGAAGGCCCGAAAATCAGCTGGCATGCACACTGGAGCTGAGCTGGGGTGCCCACTGATATGGCTACACGTGTCACCTGTGGCACGCGTGCCATAGGTTCGCCAGCAAGGCCCTAAAACAAGCTTAATAAATATTGTCCCAAAGGTGATTTTTTTTCAAGAGGCAAGATATCTTTGAAGACGTTTCGCTTCTCATCCAAGAAGCTTCTTCAGCTTGGATAAAGAAGCGAAACGATTTTTTTAAAAAACCAGAAATCCACTTGCCTCTTGAAAAAAAAAAAAATCACCTTTGGGACAACCATGACCTGGATGATCGAGAATCTCTATAGACTTAATAAATATTGTTTTTTTTAAGGCCCTGATTATTTTTTTTATTTTTTTTTATTTGATTTATATGCCGCCCTTCTCCGGAGACTCAGGGCGGCTTACAATGCGTTAAGCAATAGCCTTCATCCTTTTGTATATTTATACAAAGTCAGCTTATTGCCCCCACAAACTGGGTCCTCATTTCACCTACCTTAGAAAGGCTGGAAGGCTGAGTCAACTTGAGCCTGGTAAGATTCGAACCTGCAGAAATTGCAGGCAGCTGTGTTAATTACAGGGTGCATTAAACCACTGTACTACCAAGGCTCCTTTGCTAGTAATTCCTGCCTGTCCAGGTTTCTCATGGGGAGGAACAGCAATGTAGGAAGGCCAAAGTCCATGGTTCCCAGCCCCCCTCTCCCACCTGCCTTACCTCTGCTGGAGTTGTGATAGCTGTGCAAGATGGCGAGGTCGCTTTTGAACCTGCGCTCCGTGGTGCTGACTCTCTGAGAGATGAAATCCCAGAAATGCAAGTCCTCCTTCTTCACGTTAAGGAGCCAGGGCACTTGGGGTAACATTTTTCTCGTGGGGGGGTCAAAGTGTGAAGCCAGCTGGTCATCCACATAGCCCACCACATTATACTGGGGTACATCCTGGTTGGAGTCCAGGACCAACGTGTAGAAAATGCGCAACGAATGGGAGGAGGAACCTGGGGGGGGGGGCGGGAAAAGGGGAGGGGAGAGACAGGAAATTAGGGAGAGGGGTGTCCAAAGGCACACTTTTAAGCCCCACACCCATTTTGATTTGGAATGAGCCCCTTTCCTAGCCTCAATACTCTATAAAACAAGATTCTCCAAGTGTGGCAATTTTAAGACTTGTGGACTTCAACTCCCAGAATTCTCCAACAAGCATGGGCCGGCTAAGGAATTCTGGGAGTTGAAGTCCACAAGTCTTAAAGTTGCTAAGTTTGGCGACTCCCTGCTCTAAAATCTTGGGTGCCTACGAGGTGTATCAGGAATGGAGGTGGGTTTCAGCAGGTTCTGACCAGTTCTGGAGAACCGGTAGCAGAAATTTTGAGTAGTTCGCAGAACCGGTAGTAAAAATTCTGACTGGCCCCACTCCCATCTATTCTCTGCTTCCCAAGTAGTCTTGGTAGTACAGTGGTCTAAAGCACCCTGTTATTAAGACCAGCTGCCTGCAATTACTGCAGGTTCGAATCTCGCCAGGCTCAAGGTTGACTCAGCCTTCCATCCTTTCTAAGGTAGGTAAATTGAGGGCCCAGTTTGTGGGGGCAATAAGCTGACTTTGTATAAATATACAAAAGGATGAAGGCTATTGCTTAGCGCATTGTAAGCCACCCTGAGTCTCCGGAGAAGGGCGGCATATAAATCAAATTTAAAAAATAAAAATAAAAAAAAAAAGTCCCAGCTGATCGGGAGGAAATGGGGATTTTGCAGTATCCTTCCCCTGAAGTTACAATTGCTTAGTGCATTGTAAGCCGCCCTGAGTCTCCGGAGAAGGGTGGCATATAAATCAAATAAAAAAAAAAAAAGTGGGGTGGGAATGGAGATTTTACAGTATCCTTCCCCTGCCACGCCCACCAAGCCACGCCCACCAAGTCATGCCACGCCCACCAAGCCACACCCACAGAACCGGTAGTAAAAAAAATTTGAAACCCACCACTGCTAGGGAGGTGTATCAGGAAAGCTATCCTGCAGCCACGGTCCAAACAGAGGATGGACTAGATGCCCTCTAGCAACCCCCTTCTCCCGCAGGAGATATAAAACCAGGGCAAAAACCTACAGGGGGATTTCACAGCGTGCGTTTATTTCAGGGTTCTAACGCGACTCCCCAACCGGACGAAGCCTCTGGAACTCGCTGCCACGGGAAAGCCAGGCTGCCCCGCCTTGGAGTTAGCTACTCCAGCTACTCACCTGCGCGTCCTCCCCGCAGCAACAGGACCACCGCCGCGGCCAGAAACCCCAAGCGCGCACCCGGGAACCCCATCTGGATCCAGTCCCGATCAGCTGGGTTGTCAAAAGTGAGGAACGAGCCCGTGACCGAGGAGGAAGTTTGTAAAAAGGGCGCCGGCGGGGCTGAGAACGCTGGGAAGGGAAAATGGGAGAGGGGTCGGCTCGGCTCCCTTTGGGGAGAAGGAAGGGGGGGCCCTAGAGAGCCAGGAAAGGGAAGGAGCCGGAGTGAAAGGAGGCTTCGCGGGAGAAGTCCGGCCGATCCCGAGCGCGGCCGCTCAGCTGGAGGGCGAGTCATCGTGGGAATTTCCCTTGTTTGTTGCGGAGCGGGTCGGCTCAGGGTCCCTGGTTCCCCAAGAGGAAAAAGTCTCCACCTGCCCCCTTCACAGGTGAATGATCCCATTCCAACCTAGCTCCCTGCGGGGGACTACACTCCCCATCCTCCCCCCCCGCCCCGTGGCTTGGGGACGATGGGAGTTGTTGTCTCCAACACCTGCGACAGGCGCCCGATTGCCTGGGTAGATAAAAGCGGATTGGAGCGGGGCGTTCATGAAATCGATTAAAAGCAAAATCCTTCCCTTTCTCACCTGCCAGGCCTTCCTTGTTTCTTTTCTTCACCACCTGCTGGCTTCTGACGGTGGTAGCCCGCCAGCTAAACTCGGCGCCGCAGGCGGAAACGTATCCAAGAATGACACAAAACGAAACCAAACTGCGCTTTTTGTGGCTTGAAACGTTGCTGCTCCTCAGCGATAAGTGCCAGCCCCTCCCACGGGCTCAGGAGTCCATCTGTGTCTCTTGAAATCGGAGGGAAAGAGAGAGAGAGAGGGGTGTGTGTGTGTGTGTGTGTATGTATGTATATATATATATATATATATGTGTATGTATGTATGTATGTATGTATGTATGTATGTATGTATATATATATATATATGTAGGTCTTTGGTTATTCGGGTCTTCTCCCACGTAAAATTGGAAGTGTCTTGGCGACGTTTCGACGAAGTCTCATTCGTCATCTTCAGGCTGGTGTTCTCGGCTTCGTGCTTCCAGGAGCAATGTGAGATCGCAGCTGTCTCTTCCTTTTAACTGCTAGTGGGGGTGTGAGCTGATTGGGTGGGAACTTTGGCTTCGTGTTTGTGGCCGTGCGAGGTCTTCATGGTGGGTGTCAGTCTGCTTCATGTATGGATTGGAGGGGTTTAAAGTGGCTAATGATGCAGCTGCGGTCTGGCTTCTGGTCCTCGGTCGTGGCTCATTATCAGTGTGGGTTTGAGTCTGCTTTCTGCGTGGATGTGTGGTGGTGACATCCTGTGTGGCTCTCGTGAGTGTGGGTCTGGTGTCATTCGTCGTGTTAGGGACTCGTTTGTCAATAAGGGCGGGTTTCCAAATGGCTGGTAGGCGGGAGGTATCATCTTGTTTGTTCATGCTGTGTGGGCGTTTTTCTATCTCAATGGCTTCTCTGATTATTCTGTTGTTAAAGTGTTCAGTTTTGGCAATAGTTCTGGTCTTTTTAAAGTCAATATCATGTCCTGTGGCTTTAAGGTGTTGGACCAGGGAAGAAGTTGGTTCCTCTTTTCTGGCTGAGTTCTTGTGTTCTTCTATGCGTGCACTTATTCGTCTGTTGGTTTGTCCGATGTATGTGGTGGGGCAGGCGGTGCATGGGATTTCATATACTCCTTGATTTTCTAACTCAATTTTGTCTTTGGGGTTCCTTAGGATGGTGGATATTTTTCGGTTTGTGCAGAATGCTGTCTTGATGTTATGTTTGCGGAGGATTTTGCTTATTCTGTCTGTGGTGCCTTTTATGTATGGGAGGAGGGCTTTGCCGTTTTCTTGTTCTCTGTCTTGGATTTTAGTGGGGGTTTCTTTTTGGATTAGGTTGGTGATCTTATTTCTTTGGAATCCATTGGATGTTAGTACGTTAGTGAGAGTGTGTAGTTCGGTTTTTAGGTGTTGTTCGTCAGCTAAGCGTTTTGTTCTGGAAATGAGTGTCTTGGCTACAGAGTTGATCTGGGCAGGGTGGTGGTGTGAGAGTGCGTGCAGATAGCGGTTTGTGTGTGTTTTCTTCTGGTAGATAGTGTGTCCTAGGGAGCCATTGGATTTTCTGTAGACTAAGATATCCAGGAAGGGAAGTTGGTTGTTCGCTTCTGTTTCCATGGTGAACTGTATTTTGGGGTGTAGGCTGTTGAGGTGTGTGAGGAAGTTGTCCAGTTTTTCTTTCCCATGTGGCCAGATTATGAAGGTGTCGTCTACATATCTGAGCCAGAGTTTGGGTTTGTGATCGGATTTTTCTAGAGCTTGGGTTTCAAAGTATTCCATATAGAGGTTGGCAATGACAGGTGAGAGGGGTGATCCCATGGGTGCTCCTTCTGTTTGTTTGTATTTCTGTCCATTATAGATGAAGTATGTGTTGGATAGGCAGTGGTTGGTCAGATCTAAGATGTGCTTGGGGGGGTTATATTTGTTTTGGATAACTGTCAGGGCTTCTTTGATTGGTACTTGGGTGAAGAGGGATATATATATAAATTTGATTTATATGCCGCCCTTCTCCGGAGACTCAGGGCGGCTTACAATGCGCTAAGCAATAGCCTTCATACTTTTGTATATTTATACAAAGTCAGCTTATTGCCCCCACAAACTGGGTCCTCAATTTACCTACCTTAGAAAGGATGGAAGGCTGAGTCAACCTTGAGCCTGGCGAGATTCGAACCTGCAGTAATTGCAGGCAGCTGGTTTTAATAACAGGGTGCTTTAGACCACTGTACTACCAAGGCTCATGTTTTTGAAGAGTTGAAGAAAATAACGTGGAAATATGTGTGGCAAAGAAAGAGAGCAAGGATTAATATTAAAATGCTACAAGATGCAAGAATTAGAGGTGGGTTTGGCCTTCCGAATTGGGAATTGTATTATCAAGCGGCAGCGTTAACATGGATTAGAGAATGGATGTTATTAAGGAATACAAGATTATTGATATTGGAGGGTCATGATTTACAATTGGGTTGGCATGCCTTTTTATGGTACGGGAAACAAAGGATACATGGATATTTCCAAAGATATTATGTAAGAAATGGTTTGTTATCAGTGTGGGAGAGAGTAAAAGAAAAACATTATTTAAATATTCTAATGTGGCTTTCTACAATAGAAGCAGTGACATACCCAAATATTGTGTACATGGGGAATATTGTGAGATATAAAGACATTCTGACAGATCGGAGAGTGCTGAAACAAAAACAAGAACTAGAGAGTCAAGGAATCGAGAGAGATTGGTATAGAAGATTGCAAATACAATCAAGATATGAAGCAGATCATAGACAATATGACTTTAATTTAGGGATATCCGAACTGGATGAAATATTGGCAGGAACAGATGAGAAAATGATTAAGAAACTCTATAATTATTTATTGTGTATTAGACTAGAAGACGAAGAAGTAAAAGAAACAATGATAGCATGGACAAAGAATTTTGGATACACCATAGAATTGGATAAATGGCAACAACTTTGGGAAAGAAATGATAAATTAGCAATGGCAACAGCCTATAAAGAAAACCAATATAAAATGTTTTATAGGTGGTATATGCCACCAGAAAGATTAGTTAAGATGTTTAAAGATAAATCAGCTAAGTGTTGGAAATGTCACCAGTTGCTGGGATCATATTATCATATGTGGTGGTTGTGTAAAGAAGCAAAACAATATTGGCTGAAAATACAAACATGGTTAGAGGGAATGTTGCAGCAACATATAGAGTTAAAAGCAGAGATATTCTTATTGGGAATTTTACCAGAGAATTATAGTAAAGAAGATACCTATTTGATTATTCATATAATAACAGCGACTAGAATTGCATTTGCACAAATCTGGAAAGCACATAAAATCCTGTTGGAAGGAGAGTCTTATTTCTGAGCTTGTTCATTCCTGGATGTATGACAAATTCTATTACTAATTGGTTTATTTTACTAATTGATGATAATGTTGGAATTTAATGTCATTAACATTATACTCTTTATATGTTTATGAACCAGTAGCATTTTTTATTTGGGTGAACCGGCCTGAACTGGTACCATTTCACCCCTGGATTTTCCCCAAGTGGAGCCTTTGGGGCAAGTGGGAGCAGTGGCCGCAGGGGAGAATTTGGCTGGAAGGTCTGGTGGGGCCATGGGGGACCCTCAGGATGCATCTTCCTCAGAGTTGTAGAGAGTCGCCTACAGGGAGATGCAGATTGCATGTTTATAATCACCATTCACTTATGAATGGTAATCATAAAGTGTTAGATTAAATTTAGCTGGTAGTCTAAATTTTTTTCCAAGAGTTTATTCATGAATATCAATGTGGCTTTTTACTTAAATGACAAAAGACAATGTGAGAACTGTGTTGGTTGTCATAGTACTTTTACAACAACATAACAAAAAAACAAGCTGTATAGATCTTCTTAGATGCAGAGAAAGCCTTTGATCATTTGCATTGGCCTGTTTTGCTTAATGTTCTGGAAGATATGAGTCTTGCTGAAAATTTTATTCAAGAAATTTAGTGTCATAACCATGTGATATCCAGAAGGGGACAAGTCAAGATTTTCCTTTGTCCCCTTTGCTGTTTATTATGGCTCTTGAAGTGTGAAGGGAGGAAAATGGGTCAGTCCTGGAGTCAGGGGAAGGTCCAGACGAGGGCTCTGCATTAGAGGCAGAGATGGGGCCAGGGCCATCTGGGAGTGATGAGCGGACTCCGGAGCCTCCAGAAGCGAGTAACAGAGAGGCAGAGGAACAGGAGGAGCCTGTTCCTAGTGCACACATGTGAAGAGCTGCCAGAAGGCAAAAGCAGCTAAAGCAAAAAGGACGACTCGGGAGTAAGGCCAGGAGATGATTGGCCCCTTAATTTGGACTAAACTGAGAATGAAGTAACTATCAGCTGTTCCAATAAAACAGGTTTGTTTAGGACTGATTGTGCCTGGTAATAACTACTTGGGCCTAGGTCACAACAATTGGTGTCAAGGGGAAAAAAGATCTATTAGCTCTATATCTTTCTTCATATTTATACAATGATATAATCCAAAAATATTCAGTGTCCTCAACCTAGAGTGGCACCAAACTCCATGTTTCTGGGTGACCTTACTCAGCAGTCTCTGGAGAAAAGAGTCCATATTGAAGGATAGCAGAAGTCAAATACATAGATGTTGAAATCCTGCATTTCCCTCCAGCATCATTTTCTGGACAGGTCCTGACAGGAAAGACCACAACGATTAAAGAACACTGCCCTCAGGGGTATATCTGTAATTTTTCACAAACATGCTGTATATCAGGAATAAGTTCAGGGTCCCCAGAGGAAAAGTTGCTTCTCACTGTAATTATCACCATCCTGCTCTTTGAGATGTCTCCTTCTATTTCTCTAGTGACTGCCTTTGATGTAAACATCAGACTGAAGCACTGTGGAGGGGATCCTGCATCAGAAAAGGATAAATGCTTTAGGTGACACTGTGTTATGTGAATTTTAGGACAGGCAGGGGCTGTGCTGTTAAATGTCCTTTTCTCTCCTTTCCAGGTGAAGCATGATTTGTCTCTTTTAATTCTCAGGGCTTTTAATTCTTCAACTCTTCTTGTTCTTGTTTAGAAACAGGAAGGGAATTGATTCAGCCCCATGAATTATGAACCTCCTACTTCTGCTTCTGATGCTACTGCTGTCCCAGCCAATCTCTGGAAAGCTTAGAATGAAATGTCCACTGACTCTGGAACACCAGGATGGAGAAAAACCATGGAGCTATTACAGACCAGGAGACCATCTCATTGCTGTTATCACCAGTGAAACAAAAATATCTCCTGTAATGTTCCCTTTTGATGCAGCTCCTTCTAGTCAGTCTAATTCGTAAGTCATTCAGGATAATGGAGTTGCATTCCCTCCATTTATAATTCTAACACCTCATTCTTTTTTCTCCTTATTCCACTTATTCCAGATGCATATGGCAGCACCTCTCCTGTCTAATTTCCTAAATCATTTAGATTTCCATGCTTTCTTTGTCTTATTTTGAGGAACAGATTCAAATCCAAAGATGGAAGAGAAAAATAATATGAAACAAGTCCACATTATTTTCCTCTGCCTGTTCAATCTTGAATTCATGACTTGAATACTGATTTTTATTTAAATTAGTGATTCTTGTAGTTTTCCCCTTCCCAGCTCATTTCAAATACAACTACACATTGATATTTACTTCCAGATCCTTATAGAAATACAGGATAACTTAGTTTTAGAATTGGTTTCTGGATCACTTTTGAAACATCCTCTTCCTTTTATGGTGGTTCTACTGTAATTATTCAATTATTTTGAATCCTGATTATTGGGCAGATGAAAATTAGTACTGCCCCAAAGAATAGTGTATTTGCGATTCTTATCCCATGTGGAGGACTGTATCAATTCCATCTTCCCAACATTCATTAAAATTGAATGGAGTTGGGTGAGTATCATTTGTCTCTGGGTTTGGAGTCAGTAATGGCTTAAGACTCTGTAGGCTTCAAAAGACAAAGTGGCTTAGATTGAAAAGAAGTATGTTGTTGGTTCTGTTGATGATAATGACATGATCATATTTACAGCAGTTTGTTTGTTCATTTTTACAAGAGTTTATCTAATGCTCATTGAAAAATGCTATGCTTTATTTTGATTAGTCAAGCAAAAATATATCAAAAATATAAAATATATTTTGCTATTCATGATGATGGTAATGGTGATGATAAAAATGAACATTCTTTTACAGTAGCATATCTTCTGATCGGTCTAAAATCCTACGCTTTATTTTCGCTACTCAAGTGGTCAATAAGAATTCCCAGCTCCTGCAAAATCTCACACTTGGCTACGACATCCATGACAACAATATGAACACTATTGGCACTTCAGATGCCTTGCTGGACATGCTCTCCAGTGGAGAAGCCAATGTTCCCAACTACAGCTGTGGAAGGAAGGACCACCTTTTGGCTCTTGTTGATGCAGCTGTCAGGGACATCTCCATCCAGATGTCAACATTAGCAGACACCTACAAAGTCCCACAGGTTTGTGTGTGTGCCTTTCTAACTAGTAAAAAGAGTGAATCGGTAGGATGGGTAAGCAATAAATTCAACCACATCCATTCTAGGGCATTCAAGAGTTGCTTTCCTCTGTGGCCAGTGTAGGTATATTGTCTAGTGATGGATGGGATTGATACTGGGGAGGGGAAAACAGAAAAGGAGCCCTATCATCTAATGACACCATCCCCATTGCTTTGGGGGCTTCTACTGCACACCTGTGAAAATAAGGAGAAGGTCAAAATCCTTATATTAAAACAACATATAACCTTTATGGACAGAATTTAAAAATCTGACATAAAATATGGCTCTTTATTTGAACAAAACAATTCAGTTGAGTTTGCAAATGTGGGTCTGATGTCAGAAAAAAAGGGAGTGAGCAAGAAATATCATTTGCATTCTTTATTCTGATTTTTTTTTTAATTACTTCCTTTCTTTTCTTGTATTTTTTATCTGGTCTTGCTAATATTCTGTCTGTAATATTAGCTAATCAGGAATACAATATTCTAATACCTTGATGAGGAAAAGTTGGATTTATTGAAAGAATGACGGCATTGTTCATTGCTTTTTCAGATCACTTATAACATTGTTTCAGCGGCTCTGAGTGATAAAAGTCAATTCTCATTTTTTTACCGGATTCTCCCCAAAGAAGGGTTCCACTACCCAGGAATTGTCAAACTGCTCCTCCATTTCAGATGGACTTTGATTGGTCTCTTTGCTTCAGACACAGAGAAGGGAGAGAATTCCATGAGGGCTTTGAGTCCTATGCTGGTCAGGAATGGAATTTGTGCTGTTATATCAGAACAAATTTCACCAGCTGGACATACAGCACCCCTCAGGGTTGCCATTTCCAAGTGGAGACAAGTCAATGTCTTTGTTCACATCGTAGAATATTTTGCTGTTTGGGACAGAATTCATCTTTTCCATTCAACACTTAAAAGTTTGCCAGAACCCATTGAAGGGAAAGTCTGGATAATTGCAGTCCTTGGGGAAAGGGAAATAAAAAGACACATATTTCTGAAATATATCCATAGTGTTTGGATCTACATTTTCCAGTTGAAAAAAAGCCCAAAGGACAGTTCCTTTGAACCAGATCTCTTTGTGCAACCACAGGTCGGAGATCAATCTTTTCTCTGTTCTTTTTCAGAAGACATCATTTCTGTCAAAGGCCGGAGAAGATGCACTCAGAAATCTCCACTGAAGACCAAAGTGGAAAGAAATTGGCTCTTGTACATATGTAACTACCATGTTTACTCTTTGATTAATGGTCTGGCCCATGCCTTGAATGCTGCATATTCCTCCATATCCAAGAGGAGAAGAAAAGAGGGAGAAGAGAGCCTGGGGACTCAAAGGCTGCAGCCATGGCAGGTATGGGGTCCTGACAAAGATCCATCAAAGTTACTTTCTTTGGATAAGGAATACAAAGGGGAAAAGGAAACTATCTCAACCTTTTTGTGCTTCAAAAGGCCAACAAGTTTGGTCCATCTAATCACTTGTGGATAATTTTCCAAAGAGCGGGTACCATGACATTTATATTTTGATCTTAAACAGTTAATTTTATAAAATATGTATGCATTTTAAGTAAATTCCTATCTTTATGAATTTGTGATTAGCATTTTAGAATTGTATGTTCATACATTTGAAGGAGACCCTAGCACCGTTAAGGCGAACCTATGGCACGCGTGTCAGAGGTGGCACTCAGAGTCCTCTCTGTGGGCATGCACACTGTTGGCAGTTGCTCTTCGGGTTTCTGGCACACAGCTAGTCTTTGCGCATGCCAGAAACCCCAATACCAGCTGGCCAGTGCACATGTGCTTGGTGGAAACCCCAAAACCAGGTGGCCACCGCTTGTGTATGCCAGCCAGCTAGTCTTCGGGTTTCTAGAGCTGTGGCGCGTGCTCTGATTTGGGCACTTGGTGCCAAAAAAGTTCACCATCACTGATACAGCATAACCCTTTCTGTCTGCAGGAATCCCAGTTAAATCTTCTCTAAGTAATGGCTGTTTTGCATTAAAACAATCAGTGAAGGGGAAACTTCTCTGGTTCACGGGATCATCTGTAAAATTGTTCCTCCTTTTAGGATGGTTTTCATTCAGCCAGAATCTTCCCTTGTTTTCAAGGGCTTTATGAATTAACTTTTCATTTGTTCGTTCAATTTATATGTGATCCAGTCTAGAATGCTCCCTATACCCTACCAATTTCATCAATTATTTATTTTATCAATATTTCTATGATTGACAAATTTTGCTGAACCTTTCTTTTCCCCTTTTGGGGACAGTGATAACACTCGTTGTCCCAACTCAAGTGAGACCACTGTAGCAGAAAGACTCAAATCTGAAAACAACAACAACAACGTGTGATAGAAAAACCAAGATTTCTGCTTTTAACATTCCTGGCTATTTCTCTTCTAGTTCCATCCATTTCTGAAGAAGAACGAGTTTTGCAATCTTTCCCACGTGAAACTGTACTTGGACCAAAATGGGGATGTGACAGGAGATTTGAACCTCGTAAGCTTGATAGTTCAGTCCAGGGAGGATCCCGTTAGAAAGCAAGTGGGGACTTTTGAAAGACAGAGACTTATTATCGATCCAGATGCTCTTTCACAGCTAAAGTTGCTCAACAAGGTGGGTGAAACATTGGTGTCTTTTCTCTGTTTTCCAAAGCCTTGAGAGACTTTTCAAGTGGCTAAGCCTATTCACCAATACAGGGAGAATTGAATGTGGGGAATAGAAGCCTTATAATTTTCTTAAAAGGCTTGGGACGCTTCAGTACAATTGGCAAGGTATCTTTCGGATGCTGTAATATAGAACACTGTTTCAAATTGATTCAGCCGTGTCCTATGCGGGTTGCTAGGTGATAATGCTTTAAGACCTATGGCTATTTAAAAAAAAAAAGTTTTATTAAAAAAAAATTCTTTCACCATACATATTTTATGAACAGAGTTCACATTTTATACATAATCAAAACCATCCTTATAATACTTCTTAATCTTCCTATTTTTTCCAATATTTATCTCTTTTGTGTAATCCTTTATCCCAAATTTATCATTTTTCTCCATATCTTATTATTTCAACTTCTGCCACATTAATTCCTCCCCCCCCTATTATTTTTTATCGTTTTCAATTTTATATTCCAATAACATCACTTTGCGCCTTATATTTCTTCTCAATGACAATTGCTCCAGTTGTTTGCCATCTTTCTTCATTTCCAGAAGAGTCTCTCTAATTCCTTTTTCTCATTCATTAACAATAATACAGTCATCTTAATTTACTTGATTATCAAAATGAGCTGAGGTGGCGCAGTGGTTAGAGTGCAGTACTGCAGCTACTTTAGCTGACTGCTAGTTCAGCAGATCAGCGGATCAAATCTCACCGGCTCAAGGTTGACTCAGCCTTCCATCCTTCCGAGGTGGGTAAAATGAAGACCCAGATTGTTGGGGGCAATATGCTATTTAGTATAGTGTCTTTGGTGTAAGCCGCCCAGAGTCCTCGGAGAGTGGGCGGCATAGAAATATGAATAATAATAATAATAATAATAATAATAATAATAATAATAATAATAATAATAATAATAATAATAATAAATTACCTATTTCCCCCTTTCCATCTGCTGTGGTTTATCACCAACATATTCTATTTTTTCTTCTTTGCAAAAGGAAACACTTTCATGTTTTCAACATTATTTTCTATACAATTAGCATTTTAAATATTCATTTTAATTACATTGTTATCAAAATTAATAGTATTGTCAAATTACTTATTTTCCCCTTTCTATCTATTAGAAATTAATGTAAACAAATTCTATTCAGATTAAGAGAGTTGGAAGGGATCCAACCCCCTGCTCAAGCAAGATACCCTACATCTGCCCCTACCTAGGATCAAACTCACAACCTCCTGATTGCGGGGCAAGAGCGCCACCTCTAGGCCATAGCAGCTGGGCTTCATTCATTTTTGTCATATAATCACTTATAATCATTTTCCACCCTATCTTATTTTTTCAACTTCTGCCATGTTATTCTCACATATTGCTTTAACAAGTCATTAATGCTTTCATCTAGCTAACATCACAGTATATCCTATACTTCTTCTCTCTTGCCACTACTATAACAATTAAAATTTCATTCTAATTTAAAAAGCTTTAAAAAACACCATTATTATTATATTGTCTACTTTCCCATCCCCATTTATTAATCTATTTTGTGTATATTTCCTAATGTTTACTTCATCATCTCATCTTTACCCATCATCTCGAAACCTTTTTAACATCCCCCTTTCTAATAGTTTTTTGCACGACCCTTTATCTCGCTCTAATTTCTCAGTTCTCTCTCTTTTTCTTTTTATATATGTTACATTTCTTCTTCTGGCTCCTTTTATCTTTTTCTTCTTGTTGTTGTGTTGTTTGAACTTCCCTTACTAAAGTTTTCCCTTGTCTCTTCCAGTTATTCCCCCTTTTCCCTTTTGTCTGTTTCTGTTTTAGGGGGGATTTTTCCCCTTTCTGATTTCTATTTTTTAATATTTGCTCTTCAACATTATTAATTTCTTGCTTCTCATTTAAATTTTTCTCTTACAACTCCTCTTCCTTTTCTTTTCTGTATTTTTAAATGAATTTTCCATTTCTTTTTTGCCTATTAAAGATTCACGCATGCTTTTAAGCATCAAAAGTAACTCTTCATACATCTGCAACTCCATTTTGTAACAATTTAATACCTCCCCAATTATTTCTCTATGAACTTAACCAGAATTTAAGATCTATATAGTTTTCTTGTATCTCCGCTTCTTTGCTTTTTCCTTCTTTGATTATTTCTTTTATTCTTTAAAATTAAAATGTTATTCTCAATTATTCATTATTATTCAAATTCAGCAACAGTCAAATCCCATTATGAAGCTGTCTTCCAGAAGAGAAGGGAAATAAACAGCCACCCAGAAGTAAAACACAGTCACTCCTTAAACGTTCCCACTTAGCCAAAATTTAAAGTCTATGTAATTTTCTTGTATCTCCTTTTCTTCTTAAAATAGTCCTTTGTTCTTCAAACAGCTGCTTCCTGTTGTCTATTTGAATACAGTATCACAGTACTTTTTCTTTTCTCCAGCAGATGGCACTCTCAGTTTCTACACGTTGCAAAATAATCTTTCAAATCCAATTGTTTATCAAAATATTCAATAATTTTTCAAAACCTCTTATAATTTGTTCTCTTTCTTCTGAACATCGTTTATTCCCTTTTAAAAATATTTTGCTTTTTCCCAATTTTCTAAATCCAAGACTTTCTCTTAGATTCTTTGTGTTATAATCCATGCTTTCTCTTTTTTCTGTATTTGTGTTTTTTCTCCCCAAGTGCCAGATAGCCACTAATCCAAATTCAGGGATGCTTTTAAGACTTCAATTCCCATTTTTCTTAGCTTAAATTGGCAGTTATCTCACCCAATTCTGGCTCTCCATCCAAATGCCACTCCTGCTCAATACTTTGATCCGGTTGTCCCAGTTTCAAAGCGGCCACCATAAGATGGCCGCTGTCCCCTGTTTCTGTTCCAGCAAGGAAATTGCCAATTCCTCACGGTCTATGAAACACTTCTCCTTTCTTCACCATCCCTACAAGATGGCTATAGCTCGAAAACCTCCCGCCAGCAGTTCGTCCGGCTGGATTTTGCGTGGCTCATCAGAGCCTGCTATTTTCCAGTCCGTTCCTGCTGTGATGTCAACCGGCTGGACGTATGGCTATTTTGTCTCCCTATTTTGGAACAACACTGTTCCAAAACTATCAGCTAAAAATACAAAACAAAACCATTTTTAATTCCCAGTCTTCATTAATTAAGATATATAAAGAGCTGAAAGATTCTATTTTCACCAATGAATTAATCAGTTAACATTTATTTATCTGGAAGTATCAGTTTTAAATTGGCCATACAGCAAATTAAAGGTGCATATAACATAGATGTGAAATTGGGCTGTAAAATAATTGACCTATGAATCACACCACCAATGAACTCCTGTATCTATATAAAACAGATCTGTATCTGTATAAAACAGATATACAGATTATGTATATCTATTGGGGATTTAGGTGCTGATAGCATCAACCTGTCTTGTTTCCTTGCCTAAGATTAGCCCAGGTTCCCAGTTAAGTGAAAAAGGCAAAGATAACTCTAATCAAGACTGGACTTGTTTCCTGTTGACACCATTGGGAAATATGCTTTGGCATTCAGGTTTAGCTTGTCATGGCTGGGCAAGTTTATATTCTTAAATAGATCATACTGGTCAGAATTTTCATACTTGTCTTTCATGCCTTGGGGATAGAAGAATAGGCCTTCTGCTCCTAGGGAGAAGGTCCAAAGCTTTCCATTCACAAGAAATCATAATGAGTGTTCTGGTGTTCCCTGACCCAGAAAACTGAAGCACTGAAACAAGGATTGATCCAATTTCTACCATATGTGGGGGATTTCTACCATATGTGGTGGGAATGCCCAAAGGCAAAAAATATTGGAATTTAATAAAGAATTGGCTTGAAGAAATTTCATTAATAAAATAGAAGTTAAGCTGGAATTTTTCCTTTTGGGAATGACAGAGGGTAAATATAAGAAAGATATAAATTATCTATTACTGCATATACTCACAGCTGCACGGATAGCCTTTGCTCAGAAATGGAAAGAGAAAGATACCCCAACTGAAGAGGAAATAATATTAAAAATTCTTAACTGCACAGAAATGGATAGACTTACCTTGGAGCTCAAGGATAAATGTACTATATAATCTGGGGAAAAAATTAGGAAAGTCTAGATAAAAGCAAGATAGCCGAACAAAGCTGTAGTGTTAGATGAGAAATATATACGATATGACAGATAAATATGTATGTAAACTGCATAAATAGGTACAGGTATAGATTAGTAGAAAGTATGTAATAATTGTATAGAAATATGATATAGATTATTAGTATGATGTTATGTATAAATAACGTATAAGGTTAAAGAATTATAATATTAACATTAAAATAATTTGTATTAGTTTAAAGTGTTGAAAGATATTTAGAACCAGTGATGTCATAGCTATGAAAACCTTGCTTGACCCTGTCACAGGGTTCATATTCATGTCACATGTGATACAGCAAAAAATGCCTGATTTTTGAGGGTCATGTTCTCATGCAGAAATGGGCTTCACATTCTGTCACCACCAGTTCACCCAGCACCGGAAATGTGAGTGTGTGCTCCACATGTGTGACACATCAAACAACATGGTAATTCACTCACGTGCGATGTCCATGCATTTGTGCAACATCAAAACCACAGCGATATAGGACAGGATTGCACCTGGGTGGGTGGGTGGACCCACCCGCAGATCGCTACTACCGGTTCACCCCAACCAGTCCGAACCGGCTGAATACCAGCTCTATTCTCATGACTAACCTCCATTTCATCTCACTCTAGGTCTAGAAACTAGGCAGTCAGTTTTAGCCTTGGTTCACCATCATGGTGGCCATATAAAATTAGCAAATAAACATACAAATAAACAAAGAACAGATGCATTAAGGTTGACAGCCCAAATTTATAATGAAGTTTTCCTTTATTGGAGGTGGTTCTGGACCACTTTTGAATGGGGATGGCCTTGCAATGATACATGTAGTCCAGAAGAAACCTTTCCAGTTCCAATCGGTCACAGGTTTCTTCATCACAGTTTTATTCAATTTTAGTAAATCTAGTAAAATAAAATAAAAAATCATTAACTTTTTAGAATAAATTTCATTCTAAGCTTTAATATGAACCCAGCATCTCACTTTAAATTCATGGGTAAATGAAGAAAGGAGTAGTGCACGGTAATACAATCATGTGGTTGTATTTATATATGTGTATGTATGTATGTGTATGTATTTGTGTATTTGTGTATGTATGTATGTGACACTAATTGTCACTTCATGGTTAAATCGTTTCTCAATTGCTTAGGTCCAGAATTTATTAAGTAGAAATGTCCTGTATTGGAAAGAGATATGCTAGAAGCAAAAGGGAGAAATTAAATGAAGAATCTGTCAGTAGTTGTATCTCCTGCAACATTGAGAGTTACTTAAAACGTTCGTGTTTACCTAAGTGAAGTCCAGCAACTAGTTGACTAATGTTCCTGTCTACCTCCATTTTTCATTAAGGGTTAGTTCTAACATATTTTGTTTGGCATTCCTGGTTTTCCTGCTTAGTCTTTGCCTCAGTCCAAATGTGTGGAAAATTGTCATCCTGGATTTTTCAAGCAAGCTCGAAAAGAAGAGCCAGTATGCTGCTATGACTGTATTCCTTGTCCAGAAGGGACCATCTCCACTCAGGAAGGTGAGTGACACCAAAGAAAAGGCTACTAGATTCATCCAGAGCATTTTGATCAATGTGCATTTTAAAAGAGACATCTAAGGTTAACAATTCTGTGGTTCTCAATTTTCAAGGTGCCCTATTTCTTCCCTAAGAGGAAGAATAAGAAAAAGATTTTGAGGGACAAGGTAGGAAGAGATAGAAGAACATGGTGGATTCTGCAAGACTATTTGCATCCGAGGACATTTCTCTTTGCTTGCTAGTTTGGAGCTGTCCTCCCATGTTTACTGCTCTTAGGGACATCTGCATTCTTTGAAATTGAGAAATGGTTTCAGATCAATGACTTTTGCTCACCCAAACCTAGTTTGTATTACAGGCCAAAAGATAAATCAATCAATCAATTAATTAATCAGTCAATCTTTATTAAGGTCATGTAACCAGAAAAGCAGAAAGATCTAATTCAGATAACCATGGAGAGACGAGGGAAATACACACAGAAGACTTTCCATAAACGATGTGGAAGAAAGGACATAAATTAAATTTACCATTGTTAGGGGTAAAATCTGCCTCTTTTATTTTTAGTGCTTTATTTTTCCATATTATGGATTAAGAGGTAAAACCCAAATATTGTTTATAGCCCAGTTTAGCATTCCCAGATTTAGCATAACCATGGTTTCCTTGTTTTCCTTGGTTGGACTGCTGTTGTGACTTACCTTGAATATTGTACATAAATCAATCGATCGATCGATCAATCAATCAATCAATCTTTATCAAGGTCATGGAACCACACAAGCAGGAAGAAGTAATTCAGGGGACCACAGAGGGAGAGGATTTGGGTTCAAGGGACAAGAGAAATATGTACAAAAGACTCACCATAAAAGACCTGGAGCAGTTTTGTGTGAAAGAAGGGATGTAAATTAAATTTACCATTAGTAGGGGTAAAATTTGCCTTTTTTATTTTTAGTGCTTTAATTTTCCATATTACAGATTAAGAGGTAAAACACAAATATGGTTTATAGGCCAGTTCAACATTCCCAGATTCAGCATTGCCACCATCATGGCTTCCTTGGTTGCATTGTTACTGAATCTTCCCTCTTCGTCTTATCTTTCCAATTTTCTTGGATATTAAATAATGAAATACAACAGCAACAAAAAAAGGGGATATAGCTGTGCTTCTAATAAGGACTATTAACTATTGGTATTAAAAGGAAACCAATCTAAACAGAAATCAGGGAAAAAAGAGAACCAACTAAGCTATTGTATTTATTTCATACGGTGTAGCAGAATACAGCATTAATACATAAAGTTAACAGAAACAGCATATAAAATCATAAAAACAGCAGAACAGTAAGTTATTTTAAAAATGCATAATAGGAATGATGGGTACAATTATGAATGAAATTAAATTATATATGAGCAGTTACTAGAGTGGCTAAGCCTATCGCTGGATATCTGGACCATTTAGCCATTGTGCAGCAATGCCCTTGAGATGATGTATTTCATGCAGGGATCCAGAGAACCTTCTGAAGGGGCATTCCCTCATAGGTAAAGGTAAAGGTTCCACTTGCACATATGTGCTAGTCATTCCCAACTCTAGGGGGCAGTGCTCATCTCCGTTTCAAAGCCGAAGAGCCAGCACTGTCCGGAGACATCTCCATGGTCATGTGGCCAACATGACTAAATGCCAAAGGCACACGGAACTCTGTTACCTTCACACCAAAGGTGGTCCCTATTTTTCTACTTGCATTTTTAATGTACTTTCAAACTGCTAGGTTGGCAGAAGATGGGACAAGTAAAGGGAACTCACCATGTTACGCGGCACTAGGGATTTGAACCGCTGAACTGCCAACCTTTCGATCGACAAGCCACTGAGCCACCGCATCCCGATTCCAACATAACATGATATAAAGTTTTTGGGATGATCCCACAGTCACAGTTAGTATTGTCAACCTGCCCCTGTTGTTTTTTTTTCCAAAATTGGCACCTGCCATGGTTGGTTGGTATCATCTGCCATCCAAAGAAGATCTTTCTTGAAAGGTGAAAAGAGATATAAAAGAAATATTTCTTTTTGTTTTCTCAGATACTGAAAAATGCACCAAGTGCCCAGATGATCAATATCCAAATGAGAGCAGAGTCCAATGTATCCCAAAAAGAATAACCTTCCTCTCCTATGAAGAACATCTGGGCATCATCCTGGTGTCCATTGCCCTACTCTTGTTCCTAACCACAGGATTCATTTTAATCATATTCATTAAATACTTAGAAACTCCCATTGTCAAAGCCAACAACCGGGACCTCTCCTACATCCTCCTGGTCTCCCTCTTGCTTTGCTTCTTGTCCTCCTTTTTCTTCATTGGACAGCCAAGGAAAGCCACCTGTCTTCTTCGACAAACTGTGTTCAGCATTGTCTTCTCAATAGCCGTGTCTTCTGTGTTGGCCAAGACAATCACAGTGGTGTTGGCATTCTTAGCCTCAAAACCAGGGAACAAAGTGAGAAGATGGTTGGGGAAGAGCTTGGCCAATTCCATCATCCTTTCTGGTTCTGCTGGCCAAATTTTCATCTGTTCCTTATGGCTGGGAATTTCTCCCCCATTCCCTGACTCTGACCTCCACTCCCAGCATGGAGCAATCATCCTTCAATGCAATGAAGGCTCTGTCACCATGTTTTATGTTGTCCTTGGCTATATGTGTTTCCTTGCTGCCATTTGCTTCACTGTAGCTTTCCTGGCCAGGAATCTCCCTGGGGCCTTCAATGAAGCCAAGCTGATCACCTTCAGCATGCTGGTCTTCTGCAGTGTTTGGATCTCCTTCGTGCCCACCTATCTGAGCACCAAAGGAAAGTCCATGGTGATTGTTCAGGTCTTCTCCATCTTGGCCTCCAGTGCTGGACTGCTGGGTTGCATCTTCTTCCCAAAGTGCTTCATTATTATCCTGAGGCCAGATCTAAACACTAAGGAACATCTCATGATAAAAGTAGAGAAATGACAGTGAAATTGTTTCTTAGGCTTATAATATTTAATTTTTTCATTGTAGTTATTGGTGTTTTGTATTCTTCCTTTGAATCAATGTGACAATTAAGACTATTTAAAACTGAAGGAAATAAACATATGAAGAGTATAATGTTAATGACATTAAATTCCAACATTATCATCAATTAGTAAAATAAACCAATTAGTAATAGAATTTGTCATACATCCAGGAATGAACAAGCTCAGAAATAAGACTCTCCTTCCAACAGGATTTTATGTGCTTTCCAGATTTGTGCAAATGCAATTCTAGTCGCTGTTATTATATGAATAATCAAATAGGTATCTTCTTTACTATAATTCTCTGGTAAAATTCCCAATAAGAATATCTCTGCTTTTAACTCTATATGTTGCTGCAACATTCCCTCTAACCATGTTTGTATTTTCAGCCAATATTATTTTGCTTCTTTACACAACCACCACATATGATAATATGATCCCAGCAACTGGTGACATTTCCAACACTTAGCTGATTTATCTTTAAACATCTTAACTAATCTTTCTGGTGGCATATACCATCTATAAAACATCTTATACAGGTTTTCTTTATAGGCTGTTGCCATTGCTAATTTATCATTTCTTTCCCAAAGTTGTTGCCATTTATCCAATTCTATGGTGTATCCAAAATTCTTTGTCCATGCTATCATTGTTTCTTTTACTTCTTCGTCTTCTAGTCTAATACACAATAAATAATTATAGAGTTTCTTAATCATTTTCTCATCTGTTCCTGTCAATATTTCATCCAGTTCGGATATCCCTAGGTTAAAGTCATATTGTCTATGATCTGCTTCATATCTTGATTGTATTTGCAATCTTCTATACCAATCTCTCTCGATCCCTTGACTCTCTAGTTCTTGTTTTTGTTTCAGCTCTCTCCGATCTGTCAGAATGTCTTTATATCTCACAATATTCCCCATGTACACAATATTTGGGTATGTCACTGCTTCTATTGTAGAAAGCCACATTAGAATATTTAAATAATGTTTTTCTTTTACTCTCTCCCACACTGATAACAAACCATTTCTTACATAATATCTTTGGAAATATCCATGTATCCTTTGTTTCCCGTACCATAAAAAGGCATGCCAACCCAATTGTAAATCATGACCCTCCAATATCAATAATCTTGTATTCCTTAATAACATCCATTCTCTAATCCATGTTAACGCTGCCGCTTGATAATACAATTCCCAATTTGGAAGGCCAAACCCACCTCTAATTCTTGCATCTTGTAGCATTTTAATATTAATCCTTGCTCTCTTTCTTTGCCACACATATTTCCACGTTATTTTCTTCAACTCTTCAAAAACATGAGCCTTGGTAGTACAGTGGTCTAAAGCACGCTGTTATTAAAACCAGCTGCCTGCAATTACTGCAGGTTCGAATCTCCCCAGGCTCAAGGTTGACTCAGCCTTCCATCCTTTCTAAGGTAGGTAAATTGAGGACCCAGTTTGTGGGGGCAATAAGCTGACTTTGTATAAATATACAAAAGTATGAAGGCTATTGCTTAGCGCATTGTAAGCCGCCCTGAGTCTCCGGAGAAGGGCGGCATATAAATCAAATTTTTATATATATCCCTCTTCACCCAAGTACCAATCAAAGAAGCCCTGACAGTTATCCAAAACAAATATAACCCCCCCAAGCACATCTTAGATCTGACCAACCACTGCCTATCCAACACATACTTCATCTATAATGGACAGAAATACAAACAAATAGAAGGAGCACCCATGGGATCACCCCTCTCACCTGTCATTGCCAACCTCTATACGGAATACTTTGAAACCCAAGCTCTAGAAAAATCTGATCACAAACCCAAACTCTGGCTCAGATATGTAGACGACACCTTCATAATCTGGCCACATGGGAAAGAAAAACTGGACAACTTCCTCACACACCTCAACAGCCTACACCCCAAAATACAGTTCACCATGGAAACAGAAGCGAACAACCAACTTCCCTTCCTGGATGTCTTAGTCTACAGAAAATCCAATGGCTCCCTAGGACACACTATCTACCAGAAGAAAACACACACAAACCGCTATCTGCACGCACTCTCACACCACCACCCTGCCCAGATCAACTCTGTAGCCAAGACACTCATTTCCAGAACAAAACGCTTAGCTGACGAACAACACCTAAAAACCGAACTACACACTCTCACTAACGTACTAACATCCAATGGATTCCAAAGAAATAAGATCACCAACCTAATCCAAAAAGAAACCCCCACTAAAATCCAAGACAGAGAACAAGAAAACGGCAAAGCCCTCCTCCCATACATAAAAGGCACCACAGACAGAATAAGCAAAATCCTCCACAAACATAACATCAAGACAGCATTCTGCACAAACCGAAAAATATCCACCAACCTAAGGAACCCCAAAGACAAAATTGAGTTAGAAAATCAAGGAGTATATGAAATCCCATGCACCGCCTGCCCCACCACATACATCGGACAAACCAACAGACGAATAAGTGCACGCATAGAAGAACACAAGAACTCAGTCAGAAAAGAGGAACCAACTTCTTCCCTGGTCCAACACCTTAAAGCCACAGGACATGATATTGACTTTAAAAAGACCAGAACTATTGCCAAAACTGAACACTTTAACAACAGAATAATCAGAGAAGCCATCGAGATAGAAAAACGCCCACACAGCATGAACAAACGAGACGATACCTCCCGCCTACCAGCCATTTGGAAACCCGCCCTTATTGACAAACGAGTCCCTAACACGACGAATGACACCAGACCCACACTCACGAGAGCCACACAGGATGTCACCACCACACATCCACGCAGAAAGCAGACTCAAACCCACACTGATAATGAGCCACGACCAAGGACCAGAAGTCAGACCGCAGCTGCATCATTAGCCACTTTAAACCCCTCCAATCCATACATGAAGCAGACTGACACCCACCATGAAGAGCTCGCACGGCCACAAACACGAAGCCAAACAACAACAATGCAGCTCACCAGCTCAAATCCCCCTGCAACTCAGACTAAGCTGAGCACAACCAAGCCCCTACCCAAACAGAACACACCCCCAGCCAATCAGAGCACAACCAACCCCCCATCCAATCAGAGCACAGCCAAGCCCCTAACCAATCAGAACACACCTCCACCCAATCAGAACACAGCCAAGTTCCCACCCAATCAGCTCACACCCCCACTAGCAGTTAAAAGGAAGAGACAGCTGCAATCTCACATTGCTCCTGGAAGCATGAAGCCGAGAACACCAGCCTGAAGATGACGAATGAGACTTCGTCGAAACGTCGCCAAGACACTTCCAATTTTACGTGGGAGAAGACCCGAATAACCAAAGACCTACATATATATATATATATGCATATTCTTTCTAGCCAGGTTTTACCTACGTAAACTAAGTTGTTCTGCAGCCCTGGTTCTGTGAAATCTCATTCACAAGCTTCTGGGCTTTTTTTTTCTGTTGACAAACTGCAACTCTGTGTTGCTCTCTGGGAGACTCAGATAGCTATTTCTGCCTTATAAGGAAAGAATATGAAAGAATATGCACATAAAAGCCTACGAAAAAGAAAAAGACACATTGTACCTTTACAGGGGGAATATCTGAGAAGTGGGTGTGGCTCACTGACGAAGCCTTATAAGGCAGAAATAGCTATCTGAGTCTCCCAGAGAACAACACAGAATTGCAGTTTGTCAACAGAAAAAAAGCCCTGAAGCTTGTGAATGAGATTTCACACAACCAGAGCTGCAGAACAACTTAGTTTACGTAGGTAAAACCTGGCTAGAAAGAATATGCACATAAAAGCCTACGAAAAAGAAAAAGACATATATATATGTATGTATGTATGTATGTATGTATGTATGCATGTATGTATGTATGTGTGTATATGTATATATATATATAGAGAGAGAGAGAGAGAGAGAGGGGAGGGTACAGAGAGAGAGAGAGGGAGAGAAGGAAGGAAAGAAGAAAGGAAGGAGGCAGGAAAGGAAAGAAGGAAGGAAGGAAAGGAAGGAAGGAAGGAAGGAAGGACAGCAAACGAAAGAGAAAGAAGAAGGAAGGAAGGAGGCAGGAAAGGAAGGAACAAAGGAAGGACAGCAAAAGAAAGAAAGAAAGAAAAGGAAGGAAGGAAGGAAGGAGGCAGGAAAGGAAAGAAGGAAGGAAGGGAAGGAAGGAAGGAAGGACAGCAAAAGAAAGAAGAAAGAAAGAAAAGGAAGGAAGGAAGGAGGCAGGAGAAGGAAGGAAGGAAGGAAGGAAGGACAGCAAAAGAAAGAAAGAAAAGGAAGGAAGGAAGGAAGGAAAGAGGCAGTAAAGGAAAGAAGGAAGGAAGGGAAGGAAGGAAGGACAGCAAAAGAAAGAAGAAAGAAAGAAAAGGAAGGAAGGAAGGAAGGAGGCAGGAAGGAAGGAAGGAAAGGAAGGAAGGAAGGAAGGACAGCAAAAGAAAGAAAGAAAAGGAAGGAAGGAAGGAGGCAGGAAAGGAAGGAAGGGAAGGAAGGAAGGAAGGACAGCAAAAGAAAGAAGAAAGAAAAGGAAGGAAGGAAGGAAGGAGGCAGGAAAGGAAGGAAGGAAAGGAAGGAAGGAAGGAAGGACAGCAAAAGAAAGAAAGAAAGAAAAGGAAGGAAGGAAGGAAGGAAGGAGGCAGGAAAGGAAAGAAGGAAGGAAGGAATGAAGGAAGAGTCCTGGACTGGCTCTCTCTCCTCTCCCTAATTCCTCCTTCGGGGCTAACTTCCCTCCTGCTTCACTGAGCCTTATTTAACGAGTTTTGCTATTTAATAAGTAACCAATTCTCCTTGTATTTCTGAGCAGAAAGTGAAAGTAGAGTAATTCAGAGCTCTGCTCTCCCCACCTCCTTCCCCCGTTCCTGGTAAAGGCTGTGGATGTGGCTTGGTGAGCGTGGCAAGGGAAGGATACTGCAAAATCCACATTCCCTCCCCTCCCCTCCCCACCCCACCCCACCTGCTTTCCAGCTCCATTCTCCTGTGCAGGGCAACAAAAGGAGACCCAGCGGATCAACTGGGACTTGGGAGGTAGCAAATAGATTGGGGGCGGAGCCAAACAGAGGTGGTATTTGCCAGTTCTCTGAACTACTCAAAATTTCTGCTACCGGTTCTCCAGAACCTGTCAGAACTGGTGGAATACCCCCTCTGATGGCTTCTTCCAAATGTGTAGCCCCTTCCAGGAGTGGTGATGTTTCCACACTTGGGTGTGAAGTTTCAAGCAGCTCCTGTCTTTTGGGCCCTCCAGATCACGTGTCCCCCAACCTTTCGGACCTCCGGGACCACTAAATTCATAATTTTAAATCCCGCGGACCACTAATAGGATCCGCCTAATGACCGGCTGGGTGGGCG